ATGCCATTATACAGACTTAGTAAAACATTTGGACAGTTTCTAAAATCAAGTTTATAGAATCTCCTTGTTAAACTATATTTAAGAATGATGGGCTGGGCGTGGTAGCTCACGCCTGTAATCCTAGCACTCTGGGAGGCCAAGGTGGGCAGATCGCTCAAGGTCAGGAGTTTGAAACCAGCCTGAGCAAGAGCGAGACCCTGTCTCTACTAAAAATAGAAAGAAATTAATTGGCCACTAAAAATATATAGAAAAAATTAGCCGGGCATGGTGGCACATGCCTGTAGTCCCAGCTACTCGGTAGGCTGAGGCAGCAGGATCGCTTGAGCCCACGAGTTTGAGGTTGCTGTGAGCTAGGCTGACACCATGGCACTCTAACTGGGGCAACAAAGTGAGACTCTGTCTCAAGAAGAGAAAAAAAAAAAAAGAATGATGGTAGTTTGACATAAACCTGATTACAACTAATGTCAGGCGTGGGGACCAGATGCCAGGACTGTGTTTCCTGGTTCTTGGTTCCTAGTGCTTAAATGTATTAAGCACGAAAGACTGGATTACTATATTTTGAGGTTGAATAATATCACTTTGCCCAATTAACAATATTTTAATCAATCATGACATCAAACATATTTTAACGTTTAGGCAGACCTTGTTTGGATTGTATATTTCAATGAATCTCAGTTATACAGCTTTCTTTAGAGAATAAAGATCAAGGAAATATGTCTTTACCTAACTATAATGTAACCATAATAATAATTAGAATAATTATTTTACTTTATTTATTAGGCGATGTGGGGTGGCTCCACCAAAAATACAGAAATCAAAGAATTAGTTTGCTCTCTGGGAGTCAATGGAAAACAAGAAGATGGAACAAGGATGCAGGACTAGAATGCCACATATTTAACTATGTAAACATTGTGTCAGTTAGGAGTTTTTGTTAGCCATAGAAGCAGAAGGAAACAGTCACTAAGGCAAATGTTGGGTGCTCATGTGCCTACTGTGTGGACGAGAGGAAGCTTGAGGTATCCTAGAACTACTGATAGAGATGAATGTGGGTGACTGTAGCCAGTGAACTTCAAATATTCAAATGCCCCCAAATTTACAATAATATAAAAATTGGTGAATTGGATTCTTCAAAATAAATAACTTTTGCTCTTCAAAAGCTAACATTAATAAAATGAAAAGACAAGTCAAAGACTAGGAGAAAATATGTGCAAAACATATATCTGGTTAATAACTATAAATAACTGATATTCATAATATAGAAAGAACTCTTGTAGCTCAATAATAAGACAAACAATTTGGAAAAGGTCAAAGATCTGAAAATACATTTCAGAAAAGAAGATACATAAATAGAAATGCTCACATGCAAATATGTACAGCATCAATCATCATTAGGAAAATGCAAAATCAAATTACAAGATACACCTACACACACTAGACTGGTTAAAATCAAAAAGACTGGCAATACCCAGTGCTGGCAAAGATGTAGAAAAACCATAACTCTTGTGTATTGGTAATGAGAACATAGAATAGTATAACCACTCTGGAAAAAGTTTAACACCCTTGTAAAAAGTTAAGCACACACTTACCATATGGCCTACAAAATACAAAAATAAATGCTTACACAAAGACTTACACACAAATACATGTACCATCTTTATTCAAAATAGCCAAAATATATACGCAACGAAAGTGTCTATCAAACTGCTCAATGGATAAACAAATGGTAGTACTTCGATATACTGGAATAACACTCAGGAATACGAAGGAAAGAATTCCTAACATATGCAACAGTACAGATGAATCTCAAAAGCTAAATCAAAGAATTCATGCACAAAGGACCGTATTACTATATAATTTCATTTATACAAAACTTGTGAAAAAGGTAAAAGCTATAGAAACATAAAGCAAACCAGTAGTTACCCAGGCCACATGATAAGAGTGAGGATTGGCATATGGCAGGAAGAAACTTTTGAGGGGTGATAGAAATGTTCTAAAACTGGATTGTAGGGATTGTTGTACATCTGTATAAACTTAGTAAAACTCAACAAACTCTAGATTTAAAATGAGAGAATTTTAAGACTATATATTATCCCTCAATAAAGGTGTTAAATATTAGAAAAACATAAGCACCAAGTAAATCTCTATTTTAGCCTTATAAAAGAAATAAACATTATATACAAACTCACAAGGCATAAAATAATTTTAGAAAATAAGGAGGTCCAAGTAACAATGAGCAAAACATCAAACTACAAAATCAATCAACAGTCAACTATTTTGTAATTCCGTCATCTAACAGGTTCGTTTCTTTAAGCTGAGATATCACTGAACTATCCAGAATAATGTATGCTTTATTAATTAATCCTAAATTGAAAACTATGAATTAAACAGATTCTGGTGGTATTTGGAAGGAGATTTTGATAATATGGCAAAGATTTAACAGAAGTAGTCATCTGAAAGAAATATATGTTAAAAATTTCCTATTCTTAACACATACTCAGATTCACAGTTCTGAATCATGTTTTTAACCATATAATTATTGATCACAACATAAAATAAATAAGTCAGAGTTCATTTTAAAGCAAAAGAGCTGAAGTCAATTGTGATAATTCAACATGGTGTAGACAGTAGAGTATAAGTGCCACTTCTGACAAATAAAATAAATATAGTTTGTTTGAAAATCTGTAAATTTAAACAAAATTTCCATAATTGGATTTTGAGATCCTTCAATCATGTTCCCATAGCCTTATCAAAAGGCTTTTCATTATATAGTTCCTTATGATTTTCAATTTGTTGGTCTTTTTCTTCTATTAGTTAACTTGTTGAGAATACGTCCTATTTATATTTGTATTACTTTTGTGTATCATAATAAAAATATTTGTCAAAATCATTGGATGGATAAATGAATGACTAGGAAAAAGGGAAAAACATTAAATACTAAAATGGACAAGGAATATAAGTGAGATTATACGTTTTAAAATTTTTCAATCATTTTTATACTACTAGATTAATTTCTTAATTGTCTACTTTGAAAATCAAACACACATATTTTTCTAAAGTTCGAGAGTATATATTCCAGCATAAAATCTAAGAAAATGCTAATGTTAATTAAACTAATATGTATTACCCATAATAGTACAAATTTAAAGGTATGTTAAAAATAATAATGTAATAAAATTACCACCATTTATCTTTTGCCAATTTAAATAAACATTATTTTGATAAGATAAAAGTCTTAAGGGATAGCCTTAAGAACAGGTGTCAATACAGGTACAACCTCTTCCTTTGAAGATTACTGGTTCAGGGACTTCACTCTGACATGTACTTAGCAAAGCAGTCATTATTAAATCCAGTTTCTGGGTTGAATCAATAGCCACTGATAAAATGCCTTCAACAGAACATGTATCATTTTGTGCAATTTTGAAAGTGCTACTTTTGATAATGTAACAGTGTCCTTAACCTTTTTGGAGCAAAAACTAAGTGCATGATTGTCCTTATAATGACAGGAATGGCAATTATTAAACTGTATTTCTAGAATACCAAACCTATTTTTTTTCCACTGACACTTCAATATCAACACAATTACTTTGCTTTGGTGAAAATGAAAGGTGACTTTAGAATGTCAGAACCTGGATATAGTTAATCTCTGGTAAAGGCTTTTTCTTTTAGGACTTAATATTAAGGGCTTTGATTTGGAGCATTTTAAAGAACTCTTTTGGGAAATTCTGTACAAACACGGAAACATACACATAAAATGGTGCTCATTTATAGAGCTAGATGAGTACTGAATATATGTACTAATAATTAAAGGCACAAACTGTATGGAAAAAACACAGCCATAGCTGAAGGATATTAAGTTTCATATTAACAACTCTGTATGTAACTCTAAATATTTTAATAAACACATAAGTGCTATAGGATAAAACAAAAGAACAAAGACAATTCTGACATTTTAATTATATAATAATATTACATTTTCTTTTCCTCATTACATCTATGTTTTGGACATACCTACATATTCCATATTACATATAATATGTTATTATTTGGAGCTTCTTATCTATACATTTATATGCTAATGTGGTGATACAAAAATAAAATTTTCTAAATAGTTTAAAATTTTGTGTAATATTTTTGTTCTGAAAACTGTGTTTTGATAACAGAAAACATATTCAAAGAAAGTTCAAGTTAGGCAATCCATCAGTCCTCTTATGTATAAATATATGAATCTGCATGTGTGCATATACATAATTGTGAATTCAATATATAAAATCAATTGAAAGAAGGAAGCTAGAAAAAAACATTTGCCTGAGTTTTATCAGAGAAAATTCAAGAGAAATTATGCTAAAGACCTACACATAATATTAGTCTTTTTCTTCCCATGTTATTTTGACACTGAATATATTTGGCCTAAATGCACATACCCTTGATTTGACTCCTCTGTAGTTTAGGAATCTTACTAGATCTTCTTTCTTTACCATATTTGCCCAAATTTATGAAAATGCAAAATGCAGCTGAATTCAATACTGAGGTGATATAGAAGCACTTGATAAATTAACTATAAAAAGCAAAGCTTTCCTCAGTCTTAAAGCATTTCATTTGATAATTAGCTAGACCGGATTTATTCAAAAATCGTAAATTTTTGTCCTTGCCTTAAAACTTTCCAACCAATGCTAGTTAGGAAAGAAAGAGCTAACAGATTCACTAAATATATGCATGGCATTATTTTTTAGAAAGGCAATATAGTGCAATGATAACATTATTTGATATGAGACTTTGGCATCAAACAGACATAAGTGGGTCTAAATCCCAGCTCTGCCACTTATTATCTGTGTCAGCTGGAAGTTACTCAACTTCTCTAAGATTCAGGGGAAAAAATAAACTATTTAAAGTCAATACTACCTCTAGGCCTTTCTGCCATTAGGAGGTTGTCACACTGGGAGTGGGAGGCATCACTCATATTAAGGGGGAAATAAATTTCTAAACTGCTTCATTCAACTTACCTTGGCTGAGAGAGAATGGGATAAGAGAAGACCGACCTCTCCAAATCTTTGCCAGTTCTTGTCTGATCCACCTAAGGTGAGACACAGAGCAGATGACTATGTCTTCAGCAAGCACATAAATATGTTTTTGGATATGCAAGTGATAGAGGTAGAAGTTTAAATTGTGCTGCCTGATAATATCAGGACTTTTAATTTCTTAAGAAAGCCCCAGTGAAGAGTTTCTTAAAGAGAGAAGAACTGGAGATTTGAGTGAGTTAAGAGATTACATGGCAGGTTTAAGTGTTCAGAACCTACAAAAATAAGAGGTCTAAAAGGAATATGGGCTAATAGAACATTTTTTAGAAACAGACATAATTATTAATAATAGTCAATTCTAACATAATTTCCTGATTTTTCTGCAATATAAATGTCCTCGAAAACAGAAGATCAACTTCACAAAAGTGTTCTGTAAACCTGTGCCTGCTGTTTTCACATACTCCCTCAGCTCACCTCCCATTCCAAGCACATCTGTGGAGGACAGTTCTACATGAGCTTAGAGAGATCAACTAGTGTGCTTCTGCATGCTTGCACTCCCTTCCTGGGGCATTCTGCCCCAGAGTCTTTTCAACTGCCACAGAAGCTTGTTCACCCTGATATAACCCAGCACGGATGCAGGTGAGTGTTTACAGTGATGCCAATCTTCAGTCAATGTGTGCAGAAGATGGCACAGAGATGCTCAGACTCCTGTGTTGAAGGTTAACCTCTCTGGCAGGTGGTCTGCATGCTGCCTGGTGGGCATCCTTGGGGTGCAGCCCCCAGTGCTTACAAGAGCAGCATCAGTTGCACACCATGTGGGCTTTTCATCCTTCCCTGCCTTACTCCTCCCACAGCCTTATTCTTGCTTCTTGGGAACATGTCCTGAATAGACTACCTAAGGCCTTGTCAGTGCATGACTCTGCTTTCAACAGACTCCAAGCCAAGATTCTTTATGGAAACTGTTTTATGGGGCAAAGGGAAAGAGGCTAAGTTCTGTATCTGAATTACTACAGGGCTGAGAGAACAGCAGGCAGGGGGGACAGAGCAGGCCTAGCAGAAAACAGGGACAGCATTCTGTGATTTTGAGGAGCATTAACATTCCTGTGTGAAAGATGACAGGAGGCTTGTGTCAATCTTTCTTTTTTATTTTTGAGTTAATTTTATTTATATCTCAAATAACAGGGCAATCTTAATTAACATATGGTTAAATAGTAGGCATACAGTAAGTGGGAAAAATTAATTTAATAAACTTGAATAGAATGGTAAGAATTTTACATTCTGAAACAGTTTTTTATTGTCAAAATTTTCTATTTCAGATTCAGCTCTGATGAATCTTCAAACTTCAATTTCCTCTGATAATCAGGTATAACTTTTAGTGAGATATCCATCCCTTAGCAGGTGGCACATTTTTGAATCTCAGGGACATTGTATGAGTTGATGACAAACTATCTTTGAAAACATTATTTCCTAAACTCCCATTCATGCACTACATTTAAGCCAAGTTATTACCCATATACACCTTGCACTTGACCATTCTCTATATTTGGAATATCCTTCATTCTCATCTGCTTTTTTTTCCCAGTACCTATACATTTTTCTAGGCCAGCCTGGAATAGTACATGGTCCATGAAATCTCCTCAAACATACAAAATTGTTTCTATAAGTTTCACGTAGTAACTCTTTATTATCTCTTAACATACAGATTTATATGTTTTAGTTTTTCCCATATCACAAGATGATATTTATCCTTCATTCATTTTTAACTTACATATTTGGGGTTTCCACATAGAGTTGAAGGTTGGTCTCCTTCTATATGCTAGGTGTATTTTTACTACAGATGGTGCTGTTACCATCTTTAACTTCAAAATTTCCATGTGTCCCAGTCCATAATCCAATTTTTCAAACATTATCAATGACCACATATCCTATTCTGTAGCCTAATTCTGATTCTTGCTCTTTAAACAAAGACTTGTCACCAACATTTTGCTCTCACCTGGGTTTTTGTGTCCCCTTTTATTCGTAGGATAATTATATGGACAGGTTTTCCCAAAGCATGTTCAGTTTAAGCCTGTTGTTCTGAGTAATTATAGTATCTTCGTCTGCTCTAGAAATTTTCTAGGTTTGGAGGATAAATTATATAGTCATGTTATTTATACAGCTTGCAATGATTTTTTGCTTTCCCTTCTCATGTGTGCTTAATCTGTTCCCACACCGCATTGCATATTATACATCCACTATTTCAGAATATGCTATATTTTTTAAGCGAGGAACATTGTCATATGAAATGATGTAAGGTAGTCAGTTTCCTCTGAGCATAGAGAAAAACTTTCCGGTGACCAGCGTTATAAATGTCTGAGCAGTATTAACTCTGAAAAGCAGACACAGACCAGAATGGGTGGGGAGAGAAATTGCATTTGGCACAGCTTCAAAAACATCATTTCAGAAAGAAAAATCCAATTCAATTTTCAGAATGACTGGTTGAACCAATCCATGACAGGTCTATATAATCAATATCTACTGCCACTTACTTTGGCAGCATTCCTGGAGAGATCATTTTCCTAAATTGTCCTCTTCTCAGCCACTTTCCATTGTGTTTTATGTAAATTATTTTGGCTTGTCTACTGCATTCCTTTTTTTTTTTTTTTTTTTGCCTCTACTACAATAAAGAACTTAAAGTATTGCATTACATATGAAAAAATGGGTATTTTTAAAAATGTCTGTATGCATTTAATTTCTTTGTGTAGTCAGTTTTAATATTATTCTAAGCTATCAGAGATGGGTCAAAATATTTTCCCATTTTCAAAGTCTTTTGTAGATAATTCTAATCCATATCTAAAAACTAAGCATTTCTATCTTTGTTATCTTCCCTACTTTTACAAATTGGCATGCAACCTCCTGCCTTACAGTATGCAGGGGCAGTTCTAGATATTTCCCTTGAAAAATATTAGTGTTTTCCTGGCCAGGAAAGTCTTTGGCAGCAGACGTGGCCATTGGGTAGGGAACTGTTGATTCTCTCCAAAATACACATCTGACAAGTGCTCTCTGTCAAAGGATAAGTGCCCAGTTAATCTGGGCCTGTTTAGGGTAAGTGGATCAGGAACTGCTTTTACTTCCTCACTTACATACCCCTCATATCTCTTAATAGTTTCCCATTGCTATGAGAGCAAAATCTAGAACCAGGGTTGATAAGTCCCTAGTTGGTCTCATGCTGCCCACTTCCCCAACCCCATCTTACCACCTTCCCCATCACCCACCATGTTCCAGACACACTGGCCTCAAGTCAAGCTTGATCCTGGGTAAGATCTCTAATTCATGAAAATCCTATTTGACCATTCAATTATGCTCCTTAGCTCCCTTGTGTATTAGAACCATATAGGGAGTTTAAAAAAAAAAAATGCCAATGCCAAAAAAGTTACTCTAATAATGGAGGAGAGAGGAAGAGATTTGCTGGAGTTTATTTTTCTCTTATTTAATCCTGGCCTGTGAGAATGAAAATGTAACCAAAGAACTTCAGATGATACCAGTCGTATTGGATTGAATAATGGTTCCCCCCAAAATATTTCCATGTTCTAACCCCTGAAACCTATTGTCTTAGTCATCTAGGGGTAATGTAACAAAATGCCATGTATTAGATGGCTTAAATAACAGAAATCTATTTTCTCACAGCTCTGGAGGCTGGGAAGTCTAAATGCAGGTGCCAGCAGATTCAGTGCCTGGTAAATGAACTCTTCCTTGCTGCAGATAGCCATCTTCTAGATGTTTCCTCACATGGCAGAGGAGAGAGAGGGTGCACACTCTGGTATAAGGATACTAGTCCCATCATGAGGGTCCCATCCTCATAATCTCACTGAAATCTAGTCACCTTCCTAAAGCCCCGTCTCTAAATACCATCACTCGTGAATTAAGGGAACCTGCAGCCTCAAGGCCACATGTGGTCCTCCAGATCCTCATGTGTAGACCCTCAACTAAATCTAAGCTTGGATTTGGATTCAATCAAAAGGCCACACTCAAGGATCCAGAAGGCAACATGTGGCCCCAAAGTCATAGGTTCCCCACCTATGGCATTAGTGAATATGACGTAATTTGCAAAAGGAGTCTTTGCAGATATTAAATTAAGGATCTTGAAAAGAGAATTTTCTGGATAATCTTTGTGGGCTCTAAATACTATGATAGGTGTCTTTATAAAAAGAAATGCAGAGGAAGGTTAGACACACAGAAAAGAAGGCCCTGTGAACCCAGCAGCAGAGACTGGAGTTATGCAGCCCCAAGCCAAGGAACACCTGTAAGTCCACAGAGGCTGCAATAAGAAGCAAGGAGCCATTCTCCCTTAGAGCAAAGGGAGTGAGTGCAGGCCTGCCAACATCTTGATTTTGGACTTCTGGTATCCAAAACTGTAAGACAATAAATTTCTGTTGTTTTAAGCCAAAAAATACTAATGCACAATTGCTACCACAATTTTCTACCACAAACCAATTAAACTAGTAACTGTGGAAGTGAAGCCCTGGCCCTGCCATTCTTTAAAGCTCCTGAAGTAGTAACTCTGTCACGTAATTAAGTATGAGAAATACCACATTAAAGAATTGCCCCTTCCAGAGGTATCTTCATTTTAATGAGTGTTTCCTCATTCTGAAAGATGAAAAGTATTCTTGACCTTCTACATAAAAAATGTCCAATATGAGATTTCATATAGTAGAGAACGTATTGGGAACTAGAGATAATGACAATATGTGTTAGAGACTTGTGCATCCTTTAAAATCTGTTACAATTTCTATTATGACTGAAAAAGAATTTTTAAAAAGAAATTTGAGAAATAGACTGCGGGCACTATGGAACAATGAAGCATTCCTATTTCTTTATTTTTCACTAAAAATATTAATTCTAAATTAGCCTATACAGTGACATCAAAAAGCTGGTGTTTTCTTTTTTTTACATTATAATTTTGTATAATTTTGCCTTCCTGTTCTCATCCTGATCAATAGTGAATAAATCTTGCTATACCTAATGAAATAAAGAAGCAAAATAATCATAACCTTACAGGAAAATAGAGACAGTTCCT